GATTTACAGAAGATTTTTTCCACTGCAAAAAAAATTTCATTCCCATGTAATAACTCCAAGTATTTGTCAAAGAATAACCTGGAACAATTTAGATTATCAACTGATCAACACATTAAAAGTCCAGCAGAGACAGTGATAGTTCTGAAGATTTAAAGGGAAAGAAGTCTAATCACTCCCTTCGTTCAATGTTTTTCAACTGAACATAAAAATCAATCAGAGAACATAAAGTCAATGAGTAAGTCATAAGTAGAATTAAAAAATAGAAAATATAGAGCATTACACATAGAAATGGTAAATATGTCTTTGTGAACACTTAAAAATTACACTGTTAAACTAAATATATAATATAGATAATTAAAATATATAATATAGATAATTAAAATATGTATATTAATATACACATATGGATATATGCACATACATATACACATCACATCACATACACGTGTGAGTATTCAGGTGTAATGTAAAATGTATCTTACTATAGACTGGGGTAAAAGATGTTTGAAAGTCTCTGCTCTAGATGAATTATTTCCTATTCCTTTAAAATCTGTTCTCTATAATGCTTCCTGACTACATCATCTATATAATCGTAATGGTAAAAGATTAGATATATTAAACAGATCATTACTCAATTGAGAGGCTTAGTTTATTGTGTTAGGAGTTAATGATTTAATTTTCCACACAAGTAACATTTACATTGACAAATGTAAAAATGACCATCCTAATAATTACTTATCAGAAAATCATTTATACACTGAATAATATTTCTTTGAACATAGCAGAGAGCACAATCAAGCAAAATGGGTTTCTTCACAGTCAAAAGAAATGTTGCAAAGTCCATGCAATAAACATCACTAGGAAGAGAACATTATTAGGAAGAGAACCCTTTGGGCATTCATTTGGAATTCATTTTTAACAAAGTATACACTTCAAATAAGTTCAGCTGTTGGTTTCCAAGACCACAGGAGATTAGAACTATATTTTTAGAGGAGAGGAAAATTGCTGCTATGAAATTGCTGCTAGTGCAGAAGAAATGAGAAGTGACAGCCAAGGACAAGAGGGGAAACAGGAAAACTGCATATAAAAATTAAAATACATGGCATTCAGGGGCCATTCAACAAGGGGAAATACTTGAGCACAGTAACATCTGTAGCCTTGTATAATAAATTATCTCCAGAATTGCAAACCTGAATCAATGATAACAAAAGCAACAGCTAATACAGAGCACTTGAACCCAGGCCCTCTGGCTCCAAAGCCTATAGTTTTAACTAGTATACTATACTCTTCTCAATAAAAATTTAAATTATGTTCATGTCATTAAGGAAAATTTCAGAATATATTTAACAAAAGAAGGATGTAATCAATTTGAAAAGACCTGCATATAAAATCGTATAAGCCTGGAAAACTTTAAAAAAGACCCATTTCTAGCTATTATTTGTATTCTGCGTATTTTTATAGTAATTTAACATATGTATAATTCCCTAACATTTACTGCATTATCTCATTAACCTTTCCCTATTAATATGTACAATTATTATCTATATACTGGAGATGAGAAAACTAACATATGGGTTAAGTAATTTGCAAAATATCACATAGCAAGTAAGTGATAACAACAATATTCAAAGTCATATAGTCTGGCTTCATAATTCTAGCTTTTAATTAGTATGCTGTGTTACCTACAGTTGCTAGTTATAGTACATACGGCAGTATTTGCTAAAATGTCTCACAGTGTATTTTTTAAGAGATTCTAATTAATCCTGGAAACCCAGCTAAAATTCCAAAAATTAAAAAAAACCACACCTTTTACGATCATTAGGCTGCTTGTTACCAATGTTCCAGTTCTAATCCTTGCAAGCACTTATCCAGCCCCTTAAAGTACAGCATGGCCACGTGACTTAATTTCATCAATAGAAATGTAAATAAAAATATTTATCACTCCAAGTGGAAGCCTTTAAGAGAAGTTTGCAGTTCTCCATTTTCTTGTTCTACCAGTCTGTGTCCTTGACTGATGCTAACATGGACCAGCACTTTCCACTCATCCATGCAATATGAGCAAGAAATAAACTGTTGTTTTTTAAGCTACTAAGATCTGAGGGTTGTTTATTAATAATCATAGCCTTGTCCTCCTGATATATTTATTAGATAGATTTTTCCTAGGAAGTGATGGATAAAAGGGGCCATCTTGGGGACATGATAAAATAAAGTTTACAACATGGTTTTATGTTCCAAAAGTTCATATTGAATCAGTTACTTGGAATTTGGAACATTTTTTTTATAGGCTCACCTTATAAATATCTTACAGAAGCTTATTAAAACCCATAATTTAAAGAAAAAAGAGTAGAAAATAACAGTGCCATTAAAATAATTAAATTAAAAGAACTAAGTAATAGATGTAAACTTGTAGACATTTTGAAGCACTTCACAGATGTTGAAGGCACTATTCCTTCTCTAGTGTGTATTGATTTTTTGTTCAATATGGTCATTTTCTCCCTTTCCTTGACCCTGGAAGATCAGTAGATACTCTCTCTGCTTATGAATGACTACTATTGCTTCCATGGCTTGTAAGTGGAATGAAAAGGAAGAACTAAAGAAAGTTATTAAGTGACAGGAGAAGAGTTGACTTTGGGTGGTGGGCACATGGTGCAATATATAGATTTTGTACCACAGAAACCCACACCTGAAACCTACATGTTCATTTTGACCAATGTCATCTCAATACATTTAATAAAAAAAGAAAGTTATTAAGCAAAAGATATATGAATATTTGAAAAAAAAGAAACTGCTTAAGTTAAATTCACTGATTTGTGAGAAATAAAATAGAGGGATACTTGTTAATAAGATATGAAATGAGTATTCTGTAATTTCCCAAAAATTTCTTTAAAATTGTGTTCCATAAAGGTAGGTGACTGAATATTGAACAAACCAAAGAGATTATGAATTCTTTCAGGATAAGGACTATAATTTATTCATCTTCATACACTGAGAATCTGACCTAACATTTGATATATAATTCTGCTAGATTATGATATATGGAGGGTCACATCATTAAATGCAAAACCCATCAATTTTACTTCAAAAATATATATTTTTTATTGATTTAAGAGAGGAAGGGAGAGAGAGAGAAACATCAATGATGAGAGAGAATCATTGATTGGCCGCCTCCTGTATGCCCCCTTCTGGGGATCGAACCCTCAACCTGGGTTGTACCCTGACCGGGAATTGAATTGTGACCTCCTGGTTCATGGGCCAATGCTCAACCACTGAGCCACACAATTTTACTTTTAAAGTTTTCCTGTTTTTTCACTAATGTTTGTATTGGTTCCCCAAAAGCAAATCTTGAAAGTACTCCTCAACATAATTTCTTCTAAAATGTGTAATAAAAGTCCTGTGCAATATTTGTGGATTTACCAATTAACCAAACATTTTTGGATTGACTAATAGATTAAAAGTTTCCTATTCTGAGAAAAGAGCAAGAAATAAGTTAAAACTTATTTTTAAGCCCTGGCTGGTATGTTCAGTGGTTAGAGAATCGGCGTGTACACTGGAAGGTCTCAGGTTTGATTCCCAGTCAAAGGTATGTACCTGGATTAAAGGTGCAATCCCTGGGCCTGGTCAAGGTGCGTGTTGGAGGCAACCATTCAATGTGTGTGTCTCTCTCTCTTTCTCTCTCCTCTTACATCTCCCTTCTACTCTGAAGAATCAATGGAAAATATATTCTCACTCCTCAGGTGAGGATTATAAAAAAACCAAAACAAAAACCAACAACCCCAAAACAACTTTTATTTTTAAAAGCAGACTTAAAGAACTAAATTTTTAAATTATAGCTCTGCATAGTCTATTTAATCATAGCCCACTTAATATCACTATACATAGTAGTTTACAATAGTAGTTAATAAAGCCAACTTTGGCAGCAGGTAGCCCTGAGTTGGAATTTGAGCTCTGCTTTTTATCAGCTATGTAATCCTGAGTAGATCTCAGACATGGATTCCATGAGATAATGTAATTAAAGCACAGAGCTAAATGACTGGCACAATAAATGTTCAATAAATGTTAATAATAGTATTACAAAGAAAATGATGATGTCAACAAGAGATTGCATTAAGAGATATTAGATAGCAAAGAATAAACATATTTTTTAAATCATTCCACTACTATCCCACTACTATTGGAAACAGTTACAAAATATTTGACTCTATGGAGAACACTACAAAACAAGAATGAAACTTCAGTACTGAAACAAAGGAACAGTCTTAAAAGACAAGTGAGAATTAGCTTTCTGGTTAGTAAAGGCAGTGGCATCCCTGGTAGAAGGAAAAAGCAGATGAACAGGCACATAGGCATAAAAAGAGCTTGTTTAGGGAACTCTGAGGGCTCAGCAAGGACACAGTATACAGCATGTGCTGGGAAGTAGTAGTTGCCTGTAAAGACAGACACTGAACAGACCAAGATCAAGGGTGAATAATACTCTGCTAAGAAGCATTATGTAAAAACACAGAAGCGTTAGCACTTGAATCCATCCTTGCTATGTAGATCTCTTTCTAACAGCTAAAAGGAAAAATGTATCATCAACTGAATCCTCCCATACAATATTTTCTAACTCACACTATATAAAAATGCTCTTTTTTTACTTAATGACAAAAAGGCTCACCAAATTTGTGTAGTTGTCAGGAGTATTTTAAAAGTATGGCAGCATACAAGAACTTAAATGATACCTGCTTTTAAAAAAAATGAAGAGAAAATAATTTTCCCTCTTGCTTCCCTGTGTAGTTGCACATTGATTTCACTTTCACATGGGTAAATGAAGTCAGAGTTAACATTCCAGTGCATTCTATAGCACCAGAGGAATCCTGGCTTATGTCATTATTCATTCATTGTTCATTTTTAAGTTCCCAATCAAAGATTATATATTCAGCTGACTTTTCAACACACTGCTCAATTTTCTAATGATGTTGGAAATTCCAAGCAACATTATCATGAATTTTTAAAAAGCATACCTAGGAGTGCAGTGAGTTTGGGAAGCAGTCCAACTTGTACCATCTTATTCCTCAGTCCTGTGTCAAAGGACAGGTTTAATAAAAGTCGGAGGGTGATATTCAGCAGGTCTTCATGCTCACAAGGTACCATTTTTACCAGTTTTTCAACAATATCCATTTCCACCTATGTAAAATAATAATACAAATGCAGTGAGGTTCTGTTGCACAATAAGACAAAAAAGATTATAATTTTTTCATTGTATCCTAGTTATGTTAAGCTATATACGCATTTTAATCCACAAACTTCTCTAAAAGCACACTTTAAAAAAATTTATTTATTTTTCTTTATTGTTGAAAGTATTACAGATGTCCTCTTTTATTCCCCATTGACCCTTTCTGGCCCCTACCTTCCCCCCACCCCAGGCCTTCACCACACTATTGCTTGTGCCCGTGGGTTATGCGTATCAGCATACACGTTATTTGGTTAATCTCTTCCCACCCATCCACCACCGCCTTTCCTCTGTTCCATGCTTCTATGTCTCTGGATCTAATATGTTCATCAGTTTATTTTGTTCTTTAGATTCCACATGAGTGAGATCATGTGATACTTGTCTTTCTCTAATTGGCTTATTTCACTTTGCATAATACTCTCCAGGTCCCTCCATGCTGTCTCAAAGAGTGAGATCCTTCTTTTTACTGCTGCATAGTATCCCATGGTGTAAATGTACTCAAGCTTTTTTCATCCTCTCATCTACTGATGGGCACTTGGGCTATTTCCAGATCTTAGCTATTGCAAATTGCACTGTGTGAACATAGAGGTGCATATATTATTTCTGATTGGCATGAAAGCAAACTTTTGAGGCGAAAATACACATTGCCACATCATCCCTTCCTTCCTTTACATAATAGCATCAACTAGAGGACAAGTTACACCAGTTTCTTGAAAATACATGGGTCGCCACCTACTAAGTGCCAGCCCTGTGCTAGAGCAAACAAGATCTAGTCCTGGCCTTCAAGGATTGCAGTCTAGAAAGAGAACAGAGAAATGGAACAAATAATTAAATACAATGTGATGAAATGGAATGCATAAAGTGCTCTGGAAGTAACATGGAAGGAAGCACTAAGCTACCTAGAAGAAAAGACTTCAAATTAGAAACAAAGTTCTTTAAAATGTGTAATAATTTACTCTCTGGTTAAGAGAAGAGAAAGCCAGTGGTCAGGCACTAGGGCATAAAAGCTTGTTGAGGGATGGCTGTGCTTTGGATGACTACAATACAAAGTATATGCTGGAGAGTGGCAGGTGCCCAGGACAGACACTGGACAGATCACAAAAAGCTTTTAATGCTCCATTAAGAGGTTTAAATTGTCCTATAGGCAGTAAAGTGCCCAGAATGGTTTTTGGTTCAGATGGTGATATGGTCAGACTGAGTAATATACAAACAAACATATCAGTACACACACACACACACACACACACACACACACACACACACAAAACACACACACACAAAGATACAAACAAATGCTTATGGTACACTGTATAGGTAGAGATTGAAGGTAAGTGCTGAAGAATATATTGCCTTGTGATTAGGGTTTGAATCAAAGAAAGAACATAAAGATTGAAGAGGAAAGACTCATTTGAGAGGTATTTAAGAGATATAGTCAAATCACATGAATGATCAATGAAGAAGAGGCGCTGAAGATGACTTTCAGGTTTCTGGCTTGGTTCAATGTGTTCGGTGATTATGACTGTGATTCATTACAATGAAAGGATGCAAAGTAAAATTAGAAAAGAAAAAAGGCCCATGGAGGCAAAGTCCAGAGAAAATCAGGTGTAAGCTTCCTAGAATCCTCTCCCCACAGACGAATAAAGAATGTGCTCCAGTGTTGCAGTGAGATTGACATTTGGTGCCCAAGATTTTTACTGGGGGCAAGTCACATAGGTACCTTCTATCTAGCTCAGACTAAAATTCCAGACTTCCAAAAGGAAAGCAGGTGTTCAGCATAAACCACGTTGCTTGAGCAAACAATTTAGGCACAGTAAACCAGCCTTATGAGTTAGGAAACAGTGAAAACACTCCATAAATCCAAGTTCCTAGACACCAGTGATGGCCAACCTTGTGAGAGGGTCTATATAAGAGCAGTCTCAGGCCCCTTTTCCACACGGTCAATAAAGAGGATGTAGGTGCCACTAACTAAGCTTTAAAAGTTGAAAAATAGGCGTATGACAAGAAGAGCAAAATTATTTTAATTTTTGTCATCTTTAATTTTAGGTGACTATTCAGTGGATCTTGGGAAATCTTGTAAAATTCAGGAGAGAGCCTGGTTTACAAGTAATATTTGAAACCTTAGGACAGGGGTCAGAAAACCATGGCTAGTGTGTCTAATTTGGCCCGACAGGTCATTTAATAAAACCCAAGAGCTAAAGCTAATTTTCGACTTTTACCTTTTTAAATGGTTGAAAAAATTAAGGGTATTTCTTGACACATAAAAATTATTTGAAATTCAAATATTACAGTTTCCATAAATAAAGTTTTATGGGAAAACAGCCATGGTCATCCTATATAATAAAAGCCTAATATGCTTTTATTATTGGTCTGTTCAACCAATCAAAGTGTAATATGCTAATGATGCCAAGGCCACTCAACCACTCGCTATGATGTGCACTGACCACCCGGAGGCAGACGCTCCGGCTGATAGGTTAGCTTGCTGCTGGTCCGGCTGATCGGGACTGAGCGAGATGGGCCGGACACGCCCTGGAGCCCTCCCGCGGTCCCTCCCCGGCTGGCCCACCTCTCGTGTCCCTCCCAGGCCCTGATCGTGCACTGGTGGGGTCCCTTGGCCTGACCTGCGCCCTCTCGCCATCCGGGACCTCTTGAGGGATGTCGGAGAGCTGGTTTCAGCCCGATCCTGCAGGACAGGCTGAGGGACCCGAATTCGTGCACTGGGTCTCTAGTTTGTTTATAGACTACGCATGACTGCTATCATGTTCCACCAGTAGGGCTGAGTAGTTATGGACAGAGGCTGTATGAACTGCAAGCCTAAAATATTGACTACTTGGTCATTTACAGAAAAGGTTTGTTAACCTCCCAACCCTAGAAGATTATAAAATTGCATCAAGGGAGCTTGTTTTAGAGTGTGAAATCACAGAGGACAGACCTGATTTGGTAATGTAAGCCTTGTATTCACTTTTCTTAAGGTAGCAATCAGAAAAATTTGGTTATAAAAATATCTCATACCTTTATTACAAAGCAATGGCTAAAAATGAGAGCAATTCTATATAACTACATAATTTTTTATCATTACCAAAATGTTTATGAAAAATCTTGCTGCACTTTTTCTTTTAGTAGAGGTATAAAGCAAGCATTTATTTATACGACCTTTTCCATATCTTTATTGCAACTGTTCACTGACCTTGTAAATGCCACATTAATAACTGAGCCCTAGATATACTTTTCCCCTTTCATTCCATCCCAGGGAGTAACCTAAAATTTTAAAAATGCTAAATTGACTAAATTTACCTTCAGAACTCTATCTACTCTCCATGGTCTCACTGCTGTTATATCTGAGAGCTCTTCATTACAAAGGACAAATCCATCTCCAAAGACTCACTAATTAGGGTCTCTCTTTTTCCTAGTTTAGTCTGTTAAAAAGGGTGGGTCAATCATTCATTTGTTAACTGCCAAAAACAATTTCCACAGAGGCCAGTGACAAATACTTGTCACATTTATACGAAACTGTGGCTCTGTCACTAGCTTCATTGATTACAGTAAATAAATTCTTTTCCAGATTTATTTCTTTATTCTTTTTTTTAAATAATATATTTTAATGATTTTTTACAGAGAGGAAGGGAGAGGGATAGAGAGTTAGAAACATCGACGAGAGAGAAACATCGATCAGCTGCCTCCTGCACACCCCCTACTGGGGATGTGCCCACAACCAAGGTACATGCCCTTGACCGGAATCGAACCTGGGACCCTTCAGTCCGCAGGCCGACGCTCTATCCACTGAGCCAAACCGATTAGGGCTATTTCTTTATTCATTCAACGAATATTTCTTAAATAAGCCCTGGATATATATGTATGCATATATATGAACAGGAAAGAAACATTTCCTACTTCATGGATTTTATACACCAGAGGGTGTGAAATACAGCAAAAAAACCAAAACAACAATTATACAATTATTTAATTGTAATTGTATAACTATTATATACGAGAAAAAAAAGAGTACTGTGAGATTGAACCTGAGATCATCTCAGTGTGAGTTGTTGTCAAAGAAGGCTTCTCAGAGGAAAAATAATCTTCAAGACGAACTGATATTATCTGAGGTATATATCAACCTAGAATTCTGTACTCATACATTTGATAGCATAGATGAAATGCATAAACTCCTTGAAAAACACAAACTACAACATTACCACTCAAAAAGAAATAGATAACGTAAATAGTCTTATAGATATTAAAGAAGTTTAAAGAAAGAAAACTCCAGGCCCAGATGACTTTTTCACTGGTGAAGTCTATTAAACATTCAAGTATAAATAATGCCAACTCTACACAAAACCCTTGCAGAAAAATTGGAGAGAAAATGCTTCCCAATTCATTCTATGAGGCCACATTTATCATAATAGCAAAACCAGCCCATGGCATAAGATATCTTTGTGACCTAAGTTAGGCAAAGATTTCTTAAGCACAACACCATAAACTAGAAATCCCTCATAGATACAAAAATCCTCCACAATATATTACCTAACAAAATATAGTAATGTATAAAAAATATATCATGATCAAGTGGTGTTTATCCCGTGAATGTGACCAGCTCAACATGTGAAAGTCAATCAATACAAATCCCTGTATCAACATTCTCAAGAAGAAAAACTACTATCATTTCAACCAATGCAGGAAAGGCATCTGACAAAATCAAACATTCATTCATAATTAAGTCTCAATAAACTAGGAACAGAACAGAACTTAAACTGATAGCGTATCTATGAAAAACCTAGATAACATTATACTTAATAGTAAAAAACATTGCTTTCCTCCTAAGATTAGTAACCGGGCAGGAAAGCCCATTCACAGAATTCCGTTTTAACATCATATTAAAGAGCCCCTCTCTAGTAGCATAGGAAAACAAAAAGGCATGCAAATTAGAATGGAACAAGAAAAACTTTCTATTTACAGATAACACAATTTTCTACTTAGAAAAACCCAAGAACATACAAAGAGTAACTACAACTAAAAAGTGAATTTAGCAAGGTCACAGGGCTCAAATATACAAAAATCAACTATATTTCTATATATTATCAATCACAACAGATGGTAACTAGACTTACTGCAGTGATCATTTTGTAACGTACATAAATATCAAATTTCTATGATGTACAAAGAAACTAATAGGATATATTAATTATATTTCAATAACAGATCAACAATGGAAAACTAATTTCTTTTATAAAAACTACAATTTTTAAACTACATTTTTTTTTTTTTGCTAAAAACTGAAATAATGGAAGAAATCAAGAAAGACCTAAACAAATGGAGAGCTATACCATGTTCATAGATTGGAAAATCCAATGTGGCTAATATATTGAATATATATTATTATTAACAATAGATTCAATGCAATCCCAATCAAGATTCTAAGATTTTTTTTAAATAAATAGATTGGGTATGATTCTAAATGGGCATAAAAAAGTAAAGAATATGAAATAGCCAGAATAATTAAAAAAAAGAATAACAACATTTGAAGCCATGTATCACCTAATTTCAAAACTTACTATAAAGCTACAATAATCGAGACAAAGATGTATTGGTCAGAGCACAGACACATGGTAAATGGAATAGAAAAGAGAGAGTTCAAAAATAGAACCACACATATATAGCCGATTGATTTTCAACAAAGGTACAAAGGCAATTTTAATATGGTGTAAAGGCAATTCAGTGGAGAAAGAATAGTCTTTTCAACAAATGGTACTGGAACAATTGGATATCCATTTCAAAACATGAATCTTGATGCATACCTTGAACCATATACAAAATTAACTAAGGATGGATGGATCACAGACTAATAAACAAAAGAGCAACAACACAAAGCCTACTTGAAGAGAAAGTAGGAAGATATCTTTGTGACCTAAGTTAGGCAAAGATTTCTTAAATACAACACCAAAATACCAACCATTACAAAATTCTTTAAAAACTGGACCTTATAACAATTAAAACCTTCTGCTCTCACCTAGCCTGCGTGGCTCAAAAGGTTGAGTGTCGACCTATGAACCAGGAGGTCACGGTTCAATTCCCAGGTGGGGCACATGCCTAGGTTGCGGGCTCAATCCCCAGTGCGGGGCATGCAGGAGGCAGCCGATCAATGATTCTCTCTCATTATTGATGTTTTTATCTCTCTCTCCCTCCCCCTTCCTCTCTGAAATCAATAAAAACAAAAAAAAACAAACAAAACAAAACCCACCTTCTGCTCTTCTTTGAAGAATGAAAAAACAAGTCACAGAAACTAGGAGAAAATATCTGCAAAACATAACTATTGATAAAAGACATATTCAAAATATGACAAAAAAACTCAAAATTTAATAAGAAAAAAAGCAACCCAAGGAATATATATCCTCTCTGTTGTTACTCTTAAAATCATATTCTAATATGACTTATTACCTTCTTGTTATACTGTATTTTTTAAAATATATATTTTATTGATTTTTTACAGAGAGGAAGGAAGAGGGATAGAGAGTTAGAAACATCGATGAGAGAGAAACATCGATGAGAGAGAAACATCGATCAGCTGCCTCCTGCACACCCTCCACTAGGGATGTGCCTGTAACCAAGGTACATGCCCTTGACTGGAATCGAACCCGGGACCCTTCAGTCCTCAGGCTGACTCTCTATCCACTGAGCCAAACTGGCTAGGGCTGTTATACTGTATTAAAATATAAAATCTCAATTTAAATTATCAATTAAAATATTTTTAAAGTAAACTAAATTTCCTTTAAAATATATAACTCTAAAAAGCAAGGTCAGTATTAGTTCACATCAACACTAAAATAAATACGTTATTTAAATAAATAATACAACCTCACAAATAGATCAGCCATCCCTCCCACCACCCCTTTTAAATAAAATTGCCACAGGCTTCATCTGTTACTAATTATATTAAGTAATACTGTTCTTTTGAAAAAGCAACACTACACACTGGTGTTATAGAAAACTTAATAATAATGTAACCTGGAGAGTTTTTAAAAAAAGTTAATTTGTATTTCCATTGCAGAAAATGGAATGTAAAATTGCCAGGTAGTCCAACCAGATAGTTAAACTAGACACAGCCTTCTAATCATGTCTTTCAGGCTTATAAAAGCTCAATCCCTAAAGCTAAATTTAGTAACTGTCTCAACATGAAATGCCCTCTTAATTATATATCTATAAAATGGAATGTATGGTAATTGTTTTATTAAATGTTCTATGTAAAGTGTCAGCTTATCAACAATCAGAAAATTTCTTTCAGCCTTTAAGTAATTCTTTTTAGTGTTTCTGGCAGCTATTTAAAAATTGCTTATACTTAAGCTTGCCAAAAAGTTTTTAAGAAAACAACATCATAAAATAAAGACAAAAAATTTTTGCCTTAAAAGCAGAGAGAAAGAGTAGGAAACATGACCTGGAGATATTTGAGCAAATTACTTAACCTCTCCAATCCTCTACTACTTCATCTGCAAAATTAGGAGGTAATTCACTAAATCTAAACATGGAGGTAAGGTCTGGTCAAACTCTAAAAATCCTGATGCTCTACAATGCCCTTAAATAAAATGCACTTCTTCCACAATAAAAGATGACATGCATACCATCTACAGCAAAAATCTGGCTAATCATTCTTATGCATGGATTACCTTTCCTAAACCTTGTTTTTCCTCTTTAATAAAAAATGAGGTTTGATGGGACCATTTATATTCTGAATCTATGATCTTACCAGAAAATAATTTTAATAATATTCTTGAGGTAATTTTTGATTGAATAAACATATAAATATTAATTTAATCAACAAAAACTAGATACACACTGATGACAAATCAATTTAAATTTTGTGAACTTAATCTAAATACATAAATGGAAGACTATACTTCAATTTAGAGCAATGGAAAGCAACTATTTACCACATTCAAATTCCTCAGGAGTATACACATCACCATGTCATCATATTCTTCTTAAATATAAGGTTAATAAGTTTAAAAATGTTTTTGATTAATTTCTCTTAAGTAAATTCAGTCTTAAAGCAATATCAGGCATACAGTGATCATCAATAATTAATACTGATAAAGGATGACAGATACTAAACATCTGTGGGTAAAATAAAATTTCTTATATTTCAAGTATCAGAATTGAAGGCACTTATTAAATTTGATAAATCAGTCAGGTTTTCAAAGAGGTGTGTCATTTGATAAACATAAGCTACTTCCTAGTTCATTTGTTTTAAAAGAAGAAAAAAAGAGTAGGAAGAAATATTGTATATTTAGACTATCTGAAGAAGAATTCATTTATACCAATAATACATAGTAACATAATGACTTATATTAGCATATAGTTCTAAAATGGTTCTCAATAGAGTTCAGACCAATGAACCAATAATTCCATTTTTAGGACTATATCATAAGAAAATAATCAGAAATATGGACAAAGACACATGTACAAATGTGTCCACTAAAGTGTTATTTATAATAGCTAAAATTATAAACTTAAATATTGGAAATCAAGGTGAGGTTAATGTCTGATCTATTTTAAATGTAACATTGTTCTAACAAAGACTTTTAAATAACATAGCAAAGGCAGGTAATTTTTATTCTATCTTTATATATTTCTGTACGATGCATATTTTCAGAAGGAGAAATAATATACAATTAATTTGTATGCCTCAAAGACCACTGCAATAATTCAAACAAGAAGTGAAGAGGGTATAAAGAAAGAGGGCATGAACTGGTACAATAGCACTTGGAATAGAAAGAAGGGATATTAAGGAACAGAATCAATAGCTTATGCCTACCAACTGGAATAGTAAGTGAGACAGAAGAGTTTGGGCTAAATTGAAATTCCACACACAATATCTGAAATGCAGGAGAAAAAAATACTTTAGGGGAAAATAATATAAGGGCAGATAACTCTGAAGCACAATCTTAAGTTTAAATTACTTTCTATATATACTGTTTAATATGAAAACATTCATTCTATATAATACTAGAAAAAGATTTTTATATATATTTTTCTATAAGCTTCAATTATCTGGAGTATTAAGTAATCTGAAATGTATTTCCAAATAAAGCTATTTAAGGGAGTTATTGCTATTATTAAATTTTCATTCAGCATTATCTCAATAGGGGGATAATGTGTTTACTTTTTATCAAAATATTCTAACTTGAAAATGGCAAATATGGACTGTTTCAATGTAAGTTACCATATCATTTTTGTTCTCCATAAAAATGCTGAGTTTCTTCAAGAATGACACAACCAGAATAAGCAGCTCAAAATTGTCCCGATCAAGAGCCTTCACCAGCATGTGAACTATGTTCTTATTCCTCATCTTCAGTTCTGTGCGTGTATCCTCAGCAAGATTCAGAAGCAAATAAAGAGCAACTAGAAAAGTAAAATTGATGAGATTGGCATATTGAATCAGTAATTTAATAAATCATTCCTACTCACTAAAGTAACAGACATAGTTCTTAGAAGAGAATATATTATTTTGAAAATTTTAACTAGTTATTAATTTATTCATTAGAAAACATTTGTTGTTGTTATTAAATGCTATGTTATATAAAATAAAACATATATATAAAATAACATTCTTATGATCTATGAAGGACACAATAACCATAATAAGACAATGATTCATACCCTCTTGGAGCTTAGCACTTAACGGTAATCAAATGGAAATTAAAGAAATATGTTAGCAAATAATAAAATAGGCAGGTGGGGAAAAATAATTTTTTACATATAGAAAACAAGGTAAAACTTCAACAACTAGGGGCTGCTATGTTAAAAAGAGCTATAATCCAAAATGTATTGTACAACTGAGCTGAATCTAAGGATTCTAAAACCTTTTTCATTTTCTTTTTTTTTTTTAAATATATTTTATTGATTTTTTACAGAGAGGAAGGGAGAGAGATAGAGAGTTAGAAACATTGATGAGAGAGAAACATCAGCTGCCTCCTGCACATCTCCCACTGGGGATGTGCCCGCAACCCAGGTACATGCCCTTGACCGTAATCGAACCTGGGACCTTTCAGTCCGCAGGCCGACGCTCTATCCACTGAGCCAAACCGGTTTCGGCTCATTTTCAAACTGATTTTATGACAGTCACTACAGGAAATAATGTGTATGAAATTCAGTAATATGATTGTTATACTAGGCAAAGTTGAGGTTACTGTCTACTAGTTCTAGTAAAATTTCTTTTAAATATCTGTTATAAAAGTGACTAGGTTGTCATAACTCATATAATTGTTCCCTTTTGACAGTGAGAATTATGTAACAGATAATGTTTTACATTTTGCCTTGTTGGACAGAAAGCTTCAGAGTTAAGACTTGAACACTTTCTGCCAGAATTATATAGGCTATTATGGTCAATATGATTTTTTGGCTCTCCTATGGCCTCGATTTTATCCTTTTTTTAGTATTTAATTTCATGTATTCTTATAAACCATCTCTAAACCTTTATGAATAGAAAAAAATGTATGTATAAGTATGAAATATATTGAAATATATACATAAACATTAAATTTATTTAACAAACATTTGAGTTGGAAAGGTAATTCACAATAATTAAGTACTTGCTGTATGCCAGGCACTATACTAGTTGATATATAAATAGTAACCCATTTTTTTTTCTTAAAGTGGCATCCAAATTATATTTAGTCCACTTACATGCAATATAATAACTGATATATTTGGGTTTATATCTAATATATTATCATTTGTTTTATTTTTTAATTAAATTGACTAGGGTGACATTGGTTAATAAAATTATATAGGTTTCAAGTATACAGTTCTATAATACATCATCTGTATGTTGCATTGTGTGTTTACCACCAAAGTCAAATCTCCTTCTGTCACCATATATTTGAGCCCCCTTAATCTTTTTAAAAATAATATATTTATTGATTTCAGAGGAGAAGGGAGAGGGAGAGAGAGATAGAAACATCAATGATGAGAATCACTGATTGGTTGCCTCCTGCATGCCCCCCACTGGGGATCGAGCCTGCAACCCGGGCATGTGCCCTTGACCAGAATCAAACCCGGGACCTTTCATGGCGCAGGCTGACGCTCTATCCACTGAACCAAACTGGCTAGGGCCCCCTTTACTCTTTACTATCTCTCCCCCATTCCTCCTTCCCCTCTGGTAACCATCATATATATATGGAATATTATTTATCTATAAGAAAGAAGGATATCTGCCATTTGTGACAACATAGATGGACTTTGAGGGCATTATGCTAAATGAAATAAGTCAGACAGAGAAAGACAAATACCATTAAGTTCTCGCTTATATGTAGAATCTACAATAAGTGAATTCATAGAAATAGAGAGTAGACTGATGGTTACCAGGAGCTGAGTTGGGGGGGGGGGGGGGGGGATGGGGATGGGAAGACATTAGTCAAATGGTGCAAATTTTCAGTTATAAGATGAATAAATTCTAGGGATTTAATGTACAGCATGATGACCAGAGTTAACATTATTGTATAGTTGAAGGTTGCTATGAGAGAACTTAAATGTTATCACCATAACCATAACAACAAAATCGTAATTACTTGTGGTAAAGGATGTGTTAATTAAACTTATAGTGATAAACATTTTGCAATATATACATGAATCAAATTATCCTACTGATACCTTAAACTTACACTATTATATGTCAACTAGAGGCCTGTTGCATGAAAAGATTCGTGCAATAGGCCTTCCCTTCCCCTGGCTGCTGGTACCGGTTTTCCTCTGGCACCCGGGACCCAGGCCCTCGCTCCGGCCAGAGCCGCCTTCAAGCCTTCGCTGCTCCAGCTGGAGCCGCCTTCAGTCTTCGCTCCGCTGCTTCGCGCCTACGTATGCAAATTAACCGCCAGCTTTTATGGCGGTTAATTTGCATATCTCGCTGATTAGCCAATGGGAGGCATAGCGAAGGTACGGTCAATTACCATGTTTGTCTATTATTAGATAGGATTGTACCTCAATAGTCAGCTACAAAGCAGAAACTGATTGTACACTTGAAAGCCCCCGATCATTCTCACTTTGTATCTTATGAAAGAGAAACCATACTAGTGAACATGTAAATCTCTCAATAACCCCAAAGAAGACTCTATTTCATTAAAGAGAAATGTTACAAAATTTTTTATATCAATCTTCTATGAAAGCAACAAAATAATTCACTAAGTTTATTAGGGATTGAAAGACAAGATTCTTATTAATGAAAAGGTTACAAAATGGATTAAACGTCATCTCTGTGTAAATAAATAACAAGTATCTACACAAGTAAATAACAAGTAAAAACTGAGTGGGTTTTTTGTTGGAAAATAGTAGAGTAAAATTTAAAACATTATTACCCATGCTAAAGACACAAAATTTGTAGCATATTAAAATGTATAAAACTCTCAATTATTCTATTACCTTTACCAATCTGACGAAAAATAGAACAAACTAAATGTAGAGTAAGCATTTGGCTGTATTTCTTAGTGTCTAAGAATTCGTACCTCGTAAGAGCTGTTCCTGTTTTACCACAAGCCCCTGGTATTTTTTAAAGGTTTTTTCATACTCTTTTCTCAAAGTTTGGTTTTCAGGGTCTTCATCAAGTAAACAAGTTAAGGATCTTCCATACTCATTGAAGCAAAGAAGAAACCCTACTGAAAAACACTATGAAGAACAGCGCTATTAAACTGTATGTGCAATATTATCCAGTTATTTTTTCTAATAGTTTAACTAAAATAGTATTCTCTGCATAATAATTGTGTCATAACAGGACTCCTTAACCAAGGGTTCAAGGATGTGCTTCGAGTGCTTGGGTGAACACATTTTTGGGCTTCACAAATACTTGAATCCCCAGAAATCATAAGCAAATATTTTATGTATGTACACAAGTCTCTAACTTTCAACAGATTAGCAAGTGGGTCATGTACCAAAATGATTACTGCCTTAAAAATAATTTTGTTAATAAGACTACTAGATTCTACTTCAGACAGATGCCCAGCATAGTCAAAGAATGTCTATTAGGTTTAAACTTTTTAGCACCCTCTTCAGAATAGATGTCAAAAAAGAAATATACCAAAGTTAAAGGTAAATGAAATTTAAAAATTACATCTTATGGCCCAGTTGGTGTTGCTCAGTGGTTGAATATCGGCCTGTGAACCAGGTCACAGTTTGATTCCTGTGCCCCAGCTGAGGGCTCAATCCCTGGTGAGGGGCATGCAGGAGGCAGTTGATCTATGTTTTTCATCAATGTTTCTATCTCTCTATTCCTCTCCCTTCCTCTCTCTAAAAGCAATAAAAAATATTTTTAAAAAATCACATCTTATGGCCCTCAAAACAGTCCCCTGGACACCTGCAGAAAATAGTTACTTTAGTCAGACTTCAAATCCCCAAGCACTTAAAAACAATTCCCTATTGAATGCTACTTGCATCAAAAACTTAAAACTTAATAAAATAGCAATATTTTAGGAGAAATGGCCAGAATTCTGATAGGTGATTTTATATTCCTTCAATTATTATAATCCAGTGATTCTAAGACACATTTGCCCACATGGTAATATCTCCAGAATTTTGGATGTGTTTTATAATCCATGATGTGCCATAGTTTAATTGGAAGCATTTTTTTCTTCATTGGTTATTTGTAAATAATGGTACATCTTACAACCAATAGTATCTGATACTTATAGGAATATAATATGTCCTAAAATATCAGTTCTTATCACCAATCAAAATGTATAACTTAATGGTTGCTAAAAGTCCCATTAGTGGTCCTCTTCGCATCCCTCCAGTTTAAATAAATTTTGGGTGCATTCAGGAGACTTGGGACTCCAGAAATAATCTAAAATATTCAGGATTTTTGAGTGGTCCATGTGGTTTAAGGCAATATTTATCTAGATGTCAGAAGTTTATAGCACACACAGAAAATTTCTAAACCTTGAAAGATCCTAATTAAGTAAAATCAAAGCTTATATGTGTGTGAGGGTGCATTTTTATAGTGTCTTGGGGATTCAAGGATGGGGACATAAGAAACATATGACACTCTGCACAATAGGAATAATATTTTAACTTTTTAAAAGAAATCAATAAATTTTGGGTTGGAAAAAAAAAAGCCGCCAGAGTGGGTTGTTGATCTGCAAAAGAAGTCATATAAGGACAGACATGAATACATCAGGATCTCAATCTAGAAGAATTCGTTGTAGAGGTAATATGATAAATATCCTCACATATAAGAAATGTGATGTTGAAAAAAATATCCTATTCTATATTGCTTCAGTATGTAAGATTACAACCCAGGGACAGAAGTTGTTGAGGAGTAGACTTTAGTGCAGTAAGCAAAGAACATTATAATAAATAGAATACCACATCACAAAATGAGCTAAATCATTAAGCAGTGACATTGTTAAAGAAGAGACTAAATAACCCATTTGTAAGGGAAGTTGCAGAAAAGACTCCTCTACTGAAAGATAGGTTAAAATAGATAATTTTTAAGGTTCTTTTCATAAGTTCTATCATTCTGCAGGCCTCTCAAATTTGTATGTACTAAGAAAGGAATTATTGTGCTTAATTAGAAAAATATAATTTAAAGCTAGGTTAATCACCAAATCCCCACCCATTCCAATAAAAATCACAAAGAACTGCACAGGAAACAGTGGTGAGCAAGACTTCTGCTAACCAAAGGATCTTAGGAGGCATATGTGTAGCTACTTAGAGATTCACCAATTCAGTATCCAGACCACTAATTTAAGTCCCTCTATCTCATCAACTAATCAAAGTTAGATGAGATAAAAAGTATATGTCAAACTATATTCATTCTGACAGTTTCAATCTTCATCTTAACCTTTAAAACACTCTTGCATTTTTCATGTACTGTGAGTGGAGAAAAAAAAATCCCATTCATCCAAAGCTCATAGCAATAGGCAACAACAGTGGGGTGGAATGCCACTCTAAAAGGATATCAGCTTTCTTCTTCTTAGAAAGTTCTTCTTGCCAAAGCTCATGTCTTTTTAATTCATGATCAATGATATTCATACACAAAGCTCCAATTTTATAGTGAGTGATAAGTCCATGAAACTGAGAAAAGCTTCAAAGAAGAGATTTTAGTATGTGTTTAAAGTAATACATTTTGTGGGTTCAGGAAATTGTTTAGGGTAAACACTGGTACAAACAACATAGAAAATAAATTTGATATACACATATCAATAAATAAATACAGAGCTTACTAGAAAAACTTGAAATTCTGAGATTCCTTTAACTATATTTTAAGATATTACTATTACCTGAAATTATTTTTATGTTAGAAATTAAACAAAACACATTTATAATTAAAAACCATTTAAACTATTCAGATACCCTCAAAATAAATCTTCAGACTATCATCTAACAAAACTAATACTATAACAATACTGTTATTAAATAAAACTAATACCAAAGAATAAACTAGTAAAGTATTAGCAATCATATCCTGGCCAGCAGCTCAGTTGGTTAGAGCATCAACCTGATATGTCAAGATTACGGTTTTAATCCTTGGTCAGTGCCCATACAAAAATCAACCAATAAGTGCATAAATAAGTGGAACAACAAATCAATGTCCCTCCCTCTCTCTCTCTCTCTCTCTCTCTTTCCCTCTTTCTCTAAAATCAATCAATAAAAAAATTAACCATAATACTTTAGACCTAAGTTGTGAAAAGTGTTTATTAAATTGCTTGTTTGAAATACTTTGCCTACAGCGGCATCAGCTATTAGATTCCAAATTCCTAGTGATCTGTATTTTGTTCTTCTAATGCTAACACCATATGTTCCAAAATAGTAGTGTTCAACAACTACTATTTAACTGGTTGATGTTAAAATGAATATAAATATTTAAATAAAGGATATAAATAAGATAGGGTCCCTATGGAGTAGCAGGCTATTCAGATTATGAAACAATAAGAATTCACTATGATATTAATCCACTTTGAAAGAATTTTTTTAAACAAACTAAACAATCATATAATGGCATTTCATGTTTTTCATATTCACAATGCAGAGCACATACTAGTATAATATATACTGGTCTCCAAAATCATTCTAGAATTAAGTAATTAGACAGGCAATGTATATTAAGAGCAAAAGCTCCAAAAAGTCCTACTTAACAAAGAATCTGGACATTTCATCACTATAATCCAGAGGAAATAGGATATCATAGAATATACTTTGGAAGTGATATACTATAATACCATGATTTAGGCAAAGGTTTAGTGACCCACTTTTCAAATTTTATTTCATTTTTCTCTTTTAGTATAGAACAGAGAAATATCTCAATGAAATTGCAGCTACAAGAATTATACATGAGTTATCAAGAAATAGCCCAAAGAAAATTAAAGAGTTTACAGAAGGCATAATTAAAATTCCATTATAATTTTTTAAAGAATATACTAAAGTGATCTCAAAATAATACATAAGAAAATGTACAAAATATACAAGGAAATCACAACTATGGTATCTGCGAAAAACAGCAGCCTAACAGCAACTGGAGGAGGCAGAACAGTTTGGTGCTTGCTTCCCAAATCCCTCCTCAAAGAACTGTCACTCTCTAATCCACCTGGATGCTTGCTGAAAAGCTCCATTCCCAGGGTTTTCTTTACTTGTCCTGACTCAGAGCTTGCTCCAAGCAGCCTTACACCCAGGGCATTTGTTGAAAACTACTTGTTGAGATGTGGCAGTAATGTGCAGCAGCCTTGCCAGTTGGAGTTAACAAGAGGCTGACCTAAATCTTTAAGAGGAATAACTGGAAAAAGATATTCACAGGGTCTTTGAAAAGCTCCAACACATTCCCAGGATTCTATGTGCAGGGATATGCACATGCCAGAGAAAGACCAGAGAAGGACCTAATCTCTCATCTCTGGAAAACCTTAAGGCAGTGGTTCTCAACCTTCTGGCCTTTAAATACAGTTCCTCATGTTATGACTCAACCATAAAATTATTTTCGTTGCTACTTCATAACTGAAATGTTGCTACTGTTATGAATCATAATGTAAATATCTGATATGCAGGATGGTCTTAGGTGACCCCTGTGAAAGGGTCGTTCGACCGCCAAAGGGGTCGCGACCCACAGGTTGAGAACCGCTGCATTAGTGCATTACGTGTGGAGTCCACATGGCCATGGGCCATATGGCAAATACCAGGAAGCCAAGAGTGAGTCAAGAGCACAGGGGCAACAAGGGTCCCAAAAGCACAAGAACCCCAAGAGAGTGAACTTTTTTTTTAAATGTTTTTATTGATTTTAGAGAGGAAGGGAGATGAAAAGAAGGATAGAGATATTGATGAGTGAGGAACTTCATCAATTGGCTGCCTCATGTATGCACCCCTACTGGAGATTGAGCCACAAACTGGGCATGTGCCCAGACCAGAAATCAAACCAGCAACCTCTTATTTTCCTGTTTCGACGCTCAACCACTGAACCACACTGGCCAGGCGAGAGTGAACTTCTTTGTTTAGGAGAATATGTATTCCCAAATGTTTGAGCACTTGCAGTGACCATATCCATTCTGGCTAACCATTTCTGTTCCCATGTGGAATGACAGGAAAGTACCTTTCCTATGTCATCCCAACTTTACTGGGCATATACCCCTTGGGAGTATAAAGTTGCAGCTTCCTGGGGAAGCTTCTCAAATGGCATGCCTATCGTGTCTGGCCCTCTCCCTCTGCTCCTTTTCTACTATTAATAACTAGCTGATATAATAGTATCATTCCCCTCTTAGAGAGAATGAACCTATTTGTTATCTTACAAAGGATAAATGGATGAGGTCTCCATTTTCTTGTAACTGCTTCATGCTATCAGAGGGGCATAGTCCTGCCTATCCCAAGGCTCAGAGGTCCTCTCTTAAGGAGGAGCAAAAGAGAAAGGTAAGAGGAATTTTTCAAAGTCCAGATCAGTCTGGTATCTCTGGGAGGTGACATAGATGATGTCCAGAGGATGGCACATTGGAAAAGCTGGCATCCTTATTGTATTCTAGAAATGACAACAGTATCAGTGTGACTTTGGGCAAGTGACTCAACATCACTGTGCTTTATTTTCATTATCTGGAAAATGTACATAAAAATAACCACTTTCCAAGATTGTTGTGTAGATTGCCTAAATTAAGACATGCAACTCACTTAGTACAATGCCTGATCTGCAGTAATCCCTCAGTAAAGGTTGTCTAAACTTATTAGTGTATCCTCATCTGTTTTACCAGAGACTGAGACACACAATGAAAGGTAATCAGTGCATATTTGAAATTTTAAGCAATTTTAGTGTATAGACATCTATATTATTTTCCAATGTGCAGCAACAAATAATTAAAAGTAATAATATTGATGTCTGGGAGAGGAAGGAAATCTAAAATGGCAACTCTTTTTTTTTTTTTTAAATCCTCATCTGAGGATATTTTTCTCATTGATCCATCTCTCTTTCCCTCTCCCTTCTTCTCTGAAATCAATAAAAATACATCTTTTTAAAAAAGAACTAAAAGAACTGAAAGAATTAAAGAAAAGTATGAGAAGTTAGGAGAATGATGTCTCAACAAACAAAAAATATCATAAAGAGATACACATTTAAAAATGAACCAAGTGGAAATTCTGCAATTGCAAATTACAATATCTGAAATGAAAATTCATTAATAATATTAACAGCAGATATAAGCTAGAAAAAGAAAGAATGAACAAATGTAAAGGCAGGTCAATTAAGATTATCTAGTTTCAGGAACAGAAAGAAAAAAATGAAAAATAAATAAACAGAGTCTCAAAGACCTGGGGAACATCAACAAACATACTAACATAAGCAAAATGGGAGTTCCAAGAGGAGAGAAAGCAAAATAGCAAAATGAATATTTAACAAATAATGGCTAACAACTTCCCAAGTTTGCTGAAAAACATTAATCTGCACATCCAAGAAGATCCACAAATTCCAAGTAAGATAAATTCAAAGATATCAACACTTAAACACATCATAGTCAAACTGGCAATAGCCAAAGACAAAGAAAATGTTGAAAGCAGCAAGAGAAAAACAATTCAACATGTACACAGGATCCTCAATAAAATTAACAGCAGATTTCACATCAGAAACCATGGAGACATGAAAGCAGTGGCATGACATATTCAAACTGCTAAAAGAAAGACAATCAACCAACAATTCTCTATCCAGCAAAACTATCCTTCAAACACGAAGGAAAACAAAAACTTAAGATAGTAGAACTCCCCTATGACAAATACTAAAGGAAGTCCTTCAGGCTGACATGTATACAAATGTCAAAAGCTTCATATTGCCTCCTAATTGAAAAAATAAAAAAGTGTTCCAGCCTGGCTGGTGTGGATCCATGGTTGAGTGTCGATCTATGAACCAGGAGGTCGGTCACAGTTCAATTCCCAGTCATGGCACATGCTTGGGTTGTGGCTTTGATGCCCAGTAGGAAGTGTGTAGGAGACAGCCAATCAATGATTCTCTCTTATCATTGATGTTTCTCTCTCTCTCTCTCTCTCTCTCTCTCCCCCCCTTCCTCTCTGAAGTCAAGAAAAATATATATTTTAAAAAAGTATTCCGAATTAGAAGAAAAGATACAGTACCAATAATGCTTGATTTCCCTTATTAAATGATTGATGACTTTTCCAGAGAACATTTAGATGTTATGCTCTCATGTTAAAAATTTGAAGAAGAAAGGTAATAAAGAGCTGGAAAAAGTCTATTTTTAAGTTTAGCATAAATAATTTTAACTTAATTCTCTAATATAATAATTTAAAAATCATATTTTACAATAAATTTTCTAATTTTAATATTTATAACTATAACTTACCATTTAATAGTAGTTCTTCCAAGTTATCAGGATTTCGAGCAAGTTGCAGGATCAAAGCAGAACCCCGAACCTTGTCAGGTATATCTTCATACAATAACTCAATGTATTCATCCATATCATTAATGTTAGCAACTTCATCAATCTGAAACAAAGGAAGAAGAAGAAAGTATTCCAAAATAATAATAATGCTTAACAGAGCCACTGTCAAAGGAATGATATTTTGTGATCAATATATTGCCTTTTATAATAATAGATAAGTTTTTCAAAGGACTCATAGAGGGGGAAATTAGACCTTTGGGTGCTAGGACTTCAATACAAAAGTAATTATAAACCATATGATAAAATGGGATGTATATAAGCTCTAAACTTGGTCTATCAATTATAAAATATTTTAAATATAATTCAAAGTAATTTGTATCACTATAATAAATAATATTTCAAAACATATTGCAATAAAAATATTTAAACCACTTCACAACTTATTTTTCTATCAAAATAAATTGTCTAAAAAACATACCCAATAATTTTTGCCTTTATCAATTAAATACTGACTTTCTACCTTTTTCAGGCACTTCTAAGTTCAATCACTTTTTAAAAATTATACATATGTTTAATGTTGATTGTATGAATTACTGATGGTAAAAGGCAACACCTTACAATCATATTTCTGTTAGATCAGAATGTAGTCTTACCTCCATTCCTTCAAAAGGAGGTGGATCTTTAGGTTTGCTTGTTTTTTCTTTTTTTTCTGTGTAAAAAAAAAGTTGTGTTGTTTTTTTTAAATGAGAAGAACTAGGTTTTCAGCATTTCTGAGTAATTTTTATTCTCAGCAGCTGATTAGTTAAGCTTAATTTTGCTTTTAAATAAGTTCATAGGCATCCAATTCACTCAACAAATACCTATTGATTATACAATGTGAGTTAGTAACTCTATTTAGGGCTAACTAATAAAAGTATACATTAGGCACAAGGCAGTTTATTTCCTGTTCATAGAGAGACAAGACGAACTTGAAAAGGTTTAAACAAATTTTCTATTTCATTTGTTTTACTTAGTATAATCAAAACTTAAGCCTTTATAAGTCGTTTCAAGGGCATCATATTTTGGAACTTACCCATGATGAAAGATATGTAAATGTAATACTATGAAATGAAATAACTAACCATTCAATAATCTGAGATGATTTTGCATTAAAATGTCTGTATTTTTATTTTGTTTCATTTTTGGTTTAGATTATTTGAAAATGCCTTCTATAAATAATCAGTCACTTAGTTCTAATATTTTAATGGCTTAGTTCTTGTTGAGGGACTGAAAATAGAAGCATGTTAACAATAGAGACATTGAGGAATGAAAGGAAGTATTTTCCTAAGAAAGATTCATAAAACATAACATTAGGATAGTCTAATGCATATGACATATATTTAACATTTAAATAATTAAGTCACCCATTCAAATAATAAACTAAATGTCAATGAGAAATTTAGAAAACATAAATCTAGTTGGAGTAGAGAAAATAGGTTTTCTGCCCCTAATTCTCTCCTATTGTTATTCTAGAGTCAATATGACAGATATCTGCTTTTTATTTCTTATTTCAGCATTTGTGTGGATGTGCACATACACACGCACAGTATGAAATAGAAACATCATTTTGTGTAGAACCGTCCTATATAATAAAACTCTAATATGCAAATCAACCAAACAGTGGAAGGACCAGTTGCTATGATGCGCACTGACCACCAGGGGGCAGACGTTCAATGCAGGAGCTGCCCCCT